GATCGGAACAGAAGCTCGACGCCGGAACAGGGACGGCGAAGCAGCAGTGGCGCTGGAAACGGCTTGCTGGACGTTCGCTTGGAGCTTGCAAGGAATGGTGCCGTTATTGGAGAGTTTACTGGGGACTAGTTCTCTCGCCAAGCACCAGAAAACCTACAATAAAATTCGAGTAAAGCGTCCAAAGAGAAGCTGAAGTTGCTGGAATTCACCACACTCCCTTGGGCTCGCTTGACGCCACAGGTGGTTCGATGCTGAACCTGCAAGTGAGCAAAGGTGAAGTACAGCGTTGAGAAGGCGCAAGGCTCACCGGAAATCGTCTGGGCGGCGAAGCTCCGGATCTGAGCAGCGGTGTCCGTAAGAAACTGCAGCGACGGATCAAGCGCCAGGAAAAGCTTGGCAGCAGCACAAGTAGTGGCCCAGGAAGCACATGCCCAAGGAAGAAGACGAAGCCTCCTGTTTTGTCTTTCCTTTCTCTTGCTTTTTCATGAAAACCGTTCAGTTGTGGCCGAAAGAGAGAGATTCTTCTCCTTTTGTCTCTAATCTGAATGTGTCAGAAAAACCGCCAGGCAGAAGGCAGAAAAACTCCCTTCTTAAATGTACGGTGGCCGAATTATGCTAATTCCGAAAATAAGCATCAGTTTTCTGATCCGATCTTTTCTTTTTCCCAATAAAAAATACAAAATTTTACTTTAATTTCAAATTCGGCCCCCATAATTTAAAATTTTCAAATTGTTTAAGCCAGATTTGGAATTTTAATCGAAAGTTGATAATTTTTTATGAGATAACAAAAGTTCGTGTCAAAATTGTCACTCAAAATAAAATTGGTATTTTTTTTAGGAATTAGGTCCCGAACTCTCACAATTTCTCTCTAATGGATGCACAACTCGTCTATTTTTCTCTCTCACATTGTGGCAGTGTATTTCTTGCTTGTGCGGCCTCCCCCTCAAAGAGAACTTCAACCCCTTATATAGTGAATGATCCCCTTGATTCTAGGGGTAAGATGGTCCGAGTTGGGCCGGTCCAGCACCTAACCAAAAGACTAACCCGCACAATGTTGATCCCCAATTTTTGGGACCGACGACCGACCCTGTTGAGCTTGGGGTCGAGGATCGAACCGGACTCATAGGGTCAGTCAGGTTCAAGGGTCAACTCGGGACCAACCAATTATTTTTTTGTTTCATTTTTTGTATTCTTTGAAAGGATAAACATGCTATTTCAAATTGCATATTCATCAACAATACAATATTGAGCAACTAAACTATGAACACTAGTATATATCAAATATAAATATAAGATAAGGTAATAACATAAATTTCACACTTGATAAACGCAACAAATCATGAAAATGAACACTTGAAAGACAATTAAACCATAAGTTCAAAATACATAATACAAACCATGAATTATACAACTTCATATCTTGTTCATTCTTAAATGATCGCATCAACTTCCGAACACTTGAAAACACAAACAACATACATATTAATACTTAACAAAGTATGTTTTTTTTTGGTCGAATTAGAGCTGAGTTCCTTTCTAGTTTCTAATTTACACGGCAAACTGAACTGCATAAGAAAAAAGAGAACAGAGGAGAAGGCGCTAGAGTTTAGAGTAGACAAAAGTATATAATAAATAATGCATTATATATAATTATATATAATAGGGTTGGTCCGGGTTGGACCAATCCTAAACTCCTAGGATCAAGGACCAACCCCTACAATGTAGGGTCTCGGGGTCCGAGGACCAAGGACCAACCCAATCTCACTGGGAACTGGACTAGGACCGGTAGGGTTGGGCCGGTACAGGGTCGGTCCAAGGTCAACCCTAGACCGATGCTCGCTCCTACTTGATTCTCTTCAATCTTCCAGTACACCAACTTTCCGTTTCTCAGTTTTCTTCCCAAGAATTTTTTATTTATTTTCAATAGGAGTCTTTTCCATTCAACCCTTTAGGCCGATTTCCTATTGAATATAGCACAGGATCTCCTCCTGCTTCTTTCGGCTTCTCTAACTTGCCAAGTGTGCACGTGTGAATGCCCAAATATTTGGCAAAATGAGTGTTCTTGGTGGATGCGAAATATTCTTTTTATATTATTGAATAATGGAAAATCACATGGATTTTCTTTCCTTCTCCACACATATGGACCGCCCTTGCATTTATCGAGCAAGTCATGAATAAAAAACAGGAGTAACCGAACTATATAGAGAAGCCGGGCTCGCATGGGCTCAGTCTTGAATTCAAAATATCAAAGCCATCCCTCTTTCAGTCCGTTAAGTGATAGTGCAATTTATGTGGGCCAAATTAAAACACTCATAATATCTATATGCAATTTAACTAATTTTTTGTTTAGGGATCGATTTCGATCCCTGATTTTCTATCTAATAGATAACTAAATAGATCGCCAAAATTGAGGTATCAACGGCAGGTTTATGGGGTCGATTATGGCGATACTTTCTCTACAGTGGCAAAGATGACCTCTATTCGCCTTTTACTTTCTTTAGCTGCTTTTGCTTGTTGGCCTCTTTTTCAGCTTGATGTTGAAAATGCCTTTCTTCATGGTGATTTACATGAAGAGATGTATATGGAGCAACCACCTGGGTTTGTTGCTCAAGGGGAGTCTGGTCATGTTTGTCATTTGAAGAAATCTATATATGATTTGAAAAAGTCTCTCAAAGCCTGGTTTAGGAGGTTTACTGAGGTGGTGCTCCATTTTGGACTATTTAGATATTGTGGAGATCATTCTATGCTTTACTGTGTTTTTGGAGCTGGTCGGATATTTCTTGTAGTTTATGTGGATGATATTGTCATAACTAGAGATTATTCTATAGGATTGATGAGTTGAAACTGTATTTGTGAGAGCAATTTCAAACAAAGGGTTTGGGACGACTTAGATATTTTTTGGGTATCAAAGTGGCACAGACAAACAAAGTTATTCATATCTCACAACGCAAGTATGTTTTGGATTTGCTTACAAAGACGGGTATGTAGGGTTAAACCATAGTAAATGGAGTTGGCCAAGATTGATGACAAGCGTTGAGGTAATGCTAGCGAGTTAAACCACTAGATACACCAATGATGCTTCAAATCGAGCATTTCATGAATATACCAAGCATATTGAAATTGATTGTCACTTTGTTTGTGAGAAGCTTCAGGCTGGAGTTATTTCTACTAGTCATGTTAGGATCAGTGAAAAGCTACTTGATATTTTCAACAAGTCTTTAGGGAGTAGTAGGATTGAGTATATTTGTAACAAGTTGGGCATGCTTGATATCTATGCTCCAGCTTGAGAGGGAGTTTTAAAGTGTGAGAAAGTTATTATGGTCATTAAGTGTTATTTAATTAATATAAAAGTGTGAGGAGTGGAAAACCCTTAAAGGTTTTTTTGCTCTCCTCTTTTGTTTTATATCAATTTCTACACATTGAAAGCTCGCAACAGACATTTCGAAAATGGGGTTTGATTTCAAAAATAGCATCAAGATCGCATATTTTAGAGAACCGGACTGAACATATGACAAATGTGATAAATTGTGGTGTTGTCCTTCTTAAAACTCTAATTGACACAGTTCTGATGGCGGCGGAAAGCTTGTGGCTAGATCTATGTGAATTCATCACTTGACATAAAATATTCACAATCTTCCTGACACCCTTAAGATTGAGCGATCACAATTAAAAATTGCATTTGCTGTGATTCGGCCATCCGATTTGGGCAAATTGAGTGTTGTTGGATAGCTCTTGTAGAGAGAGCCCAATTGTACTCTTCGCTCTTAATTTAAACAAAGTTTATTTTTGATCAAAATTTGTTCAAACCTTAGTAAAGAATTAGGTGTCCACAAATGCTGCTTGCTTGTAAAGTAATGGATGTAGGAACAATTCAAATCAAGATGCATGATGGTATAGTAAGGACAATGAGCGAGGTGAGACATGCGCAAAAACTGACATTAAACCTTATAGCTATGACTAGTCTTGATGGAATTGGGTATCAATTCTCTAAGGTGTAAGTAATGAAAGAAGGGATGCTCGTATGGTGATGAGACGGAAGAAAGACAGTGGTTTGTACTTCGTCCTGGAATCGGTAGTGATAGGCTAAGATGCAATGTACTGGAACAACACTTGCGGCACCTTCTCCAATTCCATTATCCAAGAGTGACGCGGCGTATACCACCTTTTCATGATGGGTTTTTTCGGAGGATCTAGGTCTATTTCATGATACACAGAGCGAGTTACTTGATCAGCTCAAATTACGACAATCAATGATCCGAAATTAGATAAGTAGGAAGGTTAATTGCACTTTTCAGTTAGATCCAACTTAGTTTCGACTCTAGTTAGATGACTTCCACTATTATTCCATATTGAAAATCTCAAATGGAAATCTCTCCTATTCTTACTGTTTTTGGCAAATAACTTGGCGTATGTTCATAGATGTCAGATCACAATTTGCCATATCTCGAACGTTACAATTTGTCGGCCTTCACTCTACTATATTGATCCATGGGGACCTTTCTCCTTATTCTAAGGACGAAATTACATTGCTTTTCATATCGAGGACAACTGGTGAAGGGAGCAACTTCCTTCACCAGTCAAGCGACGATAATTTACTTGCAAAAGTTGGAAGCATTATAGTAGAATGCAACAGTACGCAATGGGAGCCTCAAGCAAGTCTGAACTACAAAGGAGATGCATTGTCGACTCACTAGCTAAACATAAATGTAAACCCCGTTTTGCTTTTAAGATTACCAACCAAGAGAGTTTTCAAATGGATCGATCATAATAAATAAGAGAATGAATCAAGTCAAGACCACAAATTTACCTCTCAGGAGGCCTAAAGATCAACCCCGGTCCGGAGAGGTTACAAATGGGAACTGACTTAACCTTTCACTGCTCTAGAAAAAGCCTTCGATAAAGATGTTTCTTCTTGCAAACCTGGTCTGTCCACCGACCCCGACCCGCGCCCCCTCCCCCCCTCCCCCCACCCCCTCACCCCCCAACCCACACACACACACACACACACACACAGAGTGAACATATTTCCCCACAGGGAACATATTTTATCTATGACACATAACCCAAAGCTTTCACTATGCTACCCTAATAAAGAAAAACCAGAATAGAAATAATCAATGTTTTCTTTCCCATTTTCCTTCGCGTTTGCCATCGCGTTCTCTTCTTTCCACCGTCTGCCTCGATTTACTCCCCCTGGAGCCATGCCTTTGGGCAGATCCATATAAACCAGGTTGCCCGTCAAATGCCGACACCAACTCCCCATCCCCAATGCTACCCGTGTCACCCGAGTCCTTGCTTCCATCGAAATTTTCTTCATAACTACTGCCAGTGTCATCTGCTCGGTCACGTGACTGCAAAATTGTGGGTGGCTGCCCAGCAAATGGACGAGATCCGGACAACACAACCGTCTGCATTGTTCCCATGGATGAGCTACTGCCAGCATTTTCAGGCTGCAAACTCCCACCACCCGCTCTAGTGCTTCCTTCATTAACCGGCCTTCCATTATCCCTCTCACGATATCTATCCCGCGAGCGACTGCAGATTTCATCAAGGGGAATACTTAAATCACAAAACTATCAAAAGGCAGATATCATTTCAAGAACAGCAATTTAGGGGATGAAAGAATTGAAAGGCATCTTAGGAAAGGGATCAAGAAAGAGAAAACGGAGTTACCAAACATGACCAGTAAATGCTTAAATAAACACTTGGCCCGAAAGAAGGGCTATGATAAACACAAAATGACAACTCTAACTATGCTCTCATTTTGCCAAACATACTGCAAAGCTCGCAAAACGGATAGTGCTCGGTGGCCTAAGAGGATCCATTGAACTGACTCCACTTAAGTGAGATAAGGACTGGTGGTTGTTGTTTGTTGTTATAAATCTGAGTAATTAAAATAAATATCCATAGTCCCATCTGATTGAATGAATATGTGTACAAGCAGCAAGCGAAAAAACTTGCAATATTATACTACCTTTAAATTTGATCAAGGACTGGTATTTAGAATCTTCAACAGCTGGATAGAAAATGAGAATCCTCTTTAAGGTTCACATGTGAAGCACCAAAGTGATACCTGGACTGAGCGGAGGATGGAAATTCGCGCCTTGAAGATCGTACTCCTGATTCAATCTGCTCCAATTCTTGTTGAAGTTCTCTCTACAAGCAGTGCCATAATTATTACTGAAGAAGACTCATAAAACCAAGAAAAAATATGATCTTTTGTTTTTATTTGACATGGCAGCACTAAAGCAAATCATATCAGTTTAGAAATACAATAAGCTAACATAATTGAGAAAATGGTATGATCTTTTGGTGTGAGACTCACCACTACGTTAGTATAATTTGATGATAACATCTCACTAAGAAGAAAAAATGACTTCCTAGTTTAGTGTTTCGCAAGCAGCACTAACTCACGGTCTTCCTCTGCCCCCACAAAATATGAATAAGTAGAAGGTACATGCCCTAGTGGCACTAAAAAGAAATCTGACAAACTTAACATTAAAGAGACAAACCATCTAGCACCTCCAAACAAGGATGATGCCAGAAGACTACAAACTTTGCCAGGACGTTACTCAAGGTTGGGAAAGAAAAGTAACAGGTTTCTCATGTCTTATAAAATTATGAAGACTAGTCTCTACTACAGCATAATTTGAAAGAATACAAAATTTACCACTTACTATTTGTCTAACTTTTAATTTCAGTTATTGTTGTTACCTACAAAAGCCTGCACACCGTTAATTTCAGTTTCTTCTTTTTTTTATTCTTTTTTTCAAGGTAAAGAAATCTCCATGTACTTTTTTAAAAAGAACTAGAAAGGTTTCCAAGTATGAGGAGTCAATTAACAAGCATCTCAAAGATATAAAATACAGTCTTACATGATAACTAAATTACGTGGAGTCAGTTGATGGATCGGAACCTAATTATTGATGGAAGGAGTCAATTTACATTACAAATAACCCAAACTATAAGGGGTCTCTAGACAGTTCTTGCATAATTTTTTCAGCACATTGTCGAGAGCTTGTCATCACTCCTAATGATTCTCTCTAAGCAATTTTTTTGTTAGATGAACAATCTTCCATAGATATATTTCTCTGTATATACAAAAAGAAAAGGGAAGACAAAAAGCTTCAGAATTCAAAAACTGAACGATAATTTTCTAGTCATTCATGACTATAGCGTGTCCAACTGCACACCCCCAATAGGAATCGATAAAGAAACTATCTGCCCAAGGATTGCCCTTATTCAATCAAACAACATAGTTAGTCGTCAAATCAGGAGAGAATTGAAAATAATTTGAGACTTTGCAGAACCGCAGCTGCCGTAAGATTTATGAAGTACCTAAACTTTTTTAGGTAGACAAACAAGTGAGAATTGAAAGTTGTCAAAACTATTTTTTATGCAACTAAGAAATCTCATAATTAATGATTAAGGGCACTAGACACTAACAAAAGCTGACAGGCTTCTCAATGAAAGATACCACTACATGTTTTCTCTCCATATATAACATATTTATGTGTTATTATCTGCACAATACATATCAATTTTCCAGAATTTCTCATACAATGCCCTTCATTTGTGAATTGAGAATCAACAATAGAAAACAGTAGAAGAATTAGTCAGTACCGTAATAAAACCACTGGAGTTTGATTGGTTTATTGCGAATCAGCAGAAAAATCAGCCAGTACCATACTAAAACTACTAGAGTTTGGTTGACTTAGTGGTTAAGGACCAAACTTGTGTGTAAATTAAGCAGAAAAGAATTATTGCCACCAAGTGCAAATAATTCCGCGTTTGGGCCATCCACCCGAGCTTTAAACTGCATCTTACCTGGTTCATGATGTTAGTGGGGTATTTCACAGAGCATATTAACCATTTGACTACAAAACAATCATAAGTTTGCTATTCAAATGGATTTTCATCTTTCACTAATGGAAAATCTTGGATATGAAGCGGATGATTCACATTAGCTAAGTGAATGCACTGGTAGGTTTGCATGCCATTTAGGTTGAGTTTGCAGTTTCAAAAGTACTTTACAATTGGCATGTGTAAGGAGCTTGAATTTATTCAACTTGAGATAATTTCCACCCACGCACGCCTCTCCCCTCTTGGGTATGTTACATTGTCTATCTCGTAATTATTCCATTCATCCATATAATAAGATGTCGATGAAATTCAACAAAAGACTTTGAACGATGAACAAATAAACTTAATGTGCAATTCAAAGTTTTTCGCAGCTTAAAATTCTCTCAACACGAGGGAAAATTAACATATTTAAGGTGTCATTCACCAGCCTCCCTTAATACAGGTCACTCTTGAGACTTGAGACCCCAAAAGTTTTTAAAGAGAACTCAGAACTTTGTAGTACCAGGAAAAATAATTAAAATTAAGAGAAATGCTAGTTGTACAGATTAGTAGAAGGATTTGTTTATTGAAGGATGTGACGAGCGTACATTGGATGTTTTCTATACATTGAACAAACTTTCCTGAAAATCCCTGGTTGGGGAACAGGAACTCTTTCTCTAAACAACAGTTTATGCATAGACTTGTCATTTACCACACCATACCAAATTTGCATGGGCTCTCTAAATTAATTGATCTTCATTACTGCTTAATTGCCTAGAACTATAGAAAGACATACGGTATGCTTGAGCTGCAGTGAAAGATTTTCTTGCCTGTGCCTGCTTCTCCTTTTCCAGATCAAGGTTGTAACGCAACTCCCTGGTTCTTGCACGCTCAATTTCAAGCAGCCGTTGTCTCTCGATCTCTTTTTCTACCTCAGTCGTCTTTTCCCTAAGAGAGGCCATCAGTTATTTACACAAACATGATATCATTCATAATTTAGAATTGAGCATAGTTGAAATCACTAAATGCATCAATACAAGGGGGAAAGAGAACCTATCAAGCTCCTGCAGTAACTCTGCTTCTCGTACAGCAGCCTCTTCCAGGAACTTCTTGCGAGTGTGTCTCATAAGGAGTTTCTTTTGCCGGCGAGCTATTATTTCTTCTTGCAGCCTTGACTTCTCACTGCCAATTGAATTAAAGCTGGTGATTAATCAAGAATTGCTACCAAGCTTGCCTCAAGAGAGCATGTTGTATACATGCTTAAGGAGCCTTCCTTCCAATTTATCGGTCCAATTGCAATAGTTGGGTTCATTGATATATCTTGTATAAAAAATGGCTGTCACATAGAAAATCAATTTCGATTCTTTCTTTTTCAAATGATTCATTTCCGATCAATATATATGGATCGACGGAGTTATGTGTCATATAAATCCTCTGTTCATAGATTAATGAAAATGGGCAAAATCTCCATTTGCATGTGCCATTCTACGAGTCTTTTCCATTTTGCATATGGCTTTATCACTCCCTTTGACACATCCACTAGTTCGGAACTTAACTTGAAAGCCATATTCTGAATCAGCTGTTTTCAGGATGCTCCCAAGAACTAACGAATGGCAAGTGCTGTTGCTTCTGGGGCATTATATTGACACAATTAAACTATGAATATCTAAGAATCAGTTACATAATTGATGAAGAGTAGCTTCAAACCTCATTACATTTTTCTGAATGGTTGACTATCATTAACCAGTTACTAAGAGATAATTCTCCGTTGACTTCACATCATTTTCCTCCAGCTATTCTAAAATCGTGACTGACCATGTGCATCCTCAATGTGACGTAGGAGTTGAATTGATTGGCTAAGCATGAAAGTGAAACTTACATTGAATGAATAGAGTTCTTGATTTGCTGAAGACGATTCTCATCCTTTATCAAATCTGAAAAAGGAAGCATAAATACTGGAAAAACAAATTCCACGAGATAAAGATGACAAGGTCATAAGATCACCAGCTGAAGAATTAAATCGAGTGGTCTCTTTGGTATCTCTAAATTGATCTTCTGCACGATTCTCATTTTGAAGAACTTCCAACTCCATTTCAGCTTCTTCTTGCTCCTGCAATACATTTTATTTCAAAAAGGGAAAAGAGAGAGAACAACAAAGTCCTAAATGTGAGCCATGGATCACATTGAATCCTAGACTCACCACAACTTCTTCAAGTAGTTTTCGAGAGAATGCTTCTACATATGACTGAGCAGAAGTCAGCTTTGTGAGTACCTGAAATAAGTCGGTGCATAAAGAGTTTCTCAAGGGAGAAGCATGATGAAGCAATAATATTAAATGTTAAGATTCAACATGTAACACTTCTTCCTATGTTTAAACGAAAGAAAAAAAAAATTGCAAAATGAAGGCCAAACAAAAATACAAATGCATCAGGGTGAACAACAGAAGAATAGGGAAATATGAACATTCAAGGCTTGGTTTGTTTTGTGGAAAATGAATGTTTTGAAAAGCATTTTCCTAAAATTAATAGTTTATATTGCTTACAAATTGAATGAATGAAAAATATTTTCATCGTCCATGAAAATCTTTAGACATATTGTTGTCAATAATTAAAACATTCTTCATTGGCTAATTAATTGAAGTGATACAAGTGTTCATTTTTAGGAATATTTTCCAAATCATTCATTCTCTGCAAAACAAACGGAGCCTTCTGCTTACCCTTTCATGATCACTCACGAACTTTCTTTTAGCAAAAGAACTAGAGCTACTTTGTAATTGGGGGTCATTTTTAGTGGAAAACTAACTCAAACATCATATGCAGAAAGTGCTAGATTCAACTGGCATATCCTTTTGACTCACAATCCTGTCTGTCGAGATGGTAAGAATATAACCTCTTTATCAGTTTCAAATTCCTATCAATTACATGTCATCATTATGAAGATAATTGTTCACAATCAGCAAAGTCATAAAAATTCACCTAATTTTATGAGCTAAAAGTTAATAGACATGCTCAGTATCTTCCTTGAATGCATAAGAATTTCTTGGTTGAAATACAAATAAAACCTAAAACCCACTGGCACTAAGCTAATCTGTAAAGTTACGCAAACAACTAAGGATGGTTCAAAAGATTAAAGTAAATGCCCAGATATAGATAAATCCTGTTATCATAACAAATTATCCACGAACTGACAATTTAAACCAAATAAAAAACAAACTGGACATAAATTCTACTGTCTCACTGGAGACCAAAGTAGCAATAGTGTGCTACATGATTGCTAATGGCAACATACAAAGAAGCATCATCAGCTTACAGCATCATATGTTTTCAAGACTGTTCCTATCTCCTCTATCCATCCACAACATCGCTTTTCCAGAAATCCTTTACTCACAAAATGCGTACAAGTTAATAACTCGAATTTCAACAAAAGTTGAGAAAACACAGGTTCTAGCAACAATTACCATACATGAGATCTATGTTAGCTGACGCTACAATCCAAGAAAAACTAAAGGTCCCAACTTGAGTTCAAAACTTGATGATCTGACAAATACTATAAAATACAATGTCCACAGCTATTTATCCAGACTTAGTCACAGATGTCCAGTTGCAAAAATTGGCCTTCAAAGCAGGTTAAATCTCCAAAACAAAAACACGACACTGGCGTTTGGAGGTGCACTAGAGAGGACTGGAGTGATTTTTCTCTTCAAGCCGCACTAAAGTGGCAATGGGAATTGGATACACTTTTTGGCTCGACACTGTGTAGCAAAATGACTGTTGAAGAATTATCCCACATCGATTGACAACGGGTTCTAAATGCTCTTTATATTCATGTGGTCTCTCTCCACCTAATAGCTTAAGCTTTTGGGTTGGACTTTCTAACATGGTATCATAGCCAATGCTATCCTTTTCACGAATGTGCGTGGTAAAATTCCATGTGAATGTGCGATGTCAAAATTTCACGTGCTCCTCGTAATCCGACTTGCACGTGAGTGGGGGTGTTGAAGAATTATCTCACATCGATTGACAACGGGTTCTAAATGCTCTTTATATTCATGTGGTCTCTCTCCACCTAATAGCTTAAGCTTTTGGGTTGGACTTTCTAACAATGACTATAAGATCGGTTTCCAAACCTTGTCAATGTTGCCGGGAACAAGTAGGCCTTTGTGGTGGACTAGTATAGTTTCAATATGGAACGATAACTTGGGAGGTAGATTTCTCAAGGCAACCCATCAAAGCTTTAGCTAAAAGTATAACTTGGGAGATTGATTTCCTCCTGTCCAGCCATCTTAAAGTTTTACAAGAAATATTTGAAGGACAGGAGTCTTCAGTTTTGCAATTATTGAAAATCGGCTCAAAGTTTTACACTTTTGTTAGAGTGGGGCATGCATGTGATTGAAAATGCATTGACAACACTGTAAATGCTTTGTCTCGCCATTAGGCTCCTTTTAGGTTTCTTGAGCTTTTTTTGCACTTGAGTTTGCACCCCATTGGTGCTCTATATGAATTGATTTACCTATAAATTCAGTTCACTACCTGCTGCAAACTTCAGATTGGCTGCTGTAATGCCTTAGACATAACCACAAGAGGAAGATGTACAACTGTAAAGTTTATCAGTTATGTTTATGTAATATGACATTAATAAGTAGTGGCCATAGAAATAATTACTACCTGAAGAATTTCTTCACGTGTGCTGCTGAAATCAGGATCAAGTTGCTTGAACCCACTGGCAGAAAGAGCTTCTCTCAAGACCTTTTACAGTGAAGCATGGTTCAGTAAACACTTAATATAAGCTATTAACCATCGGCCTACATAAAAGCAGTCAGACAAAATTCTTTTGATCCATCCTGCATCTAATACAGCCTCTTATTAGGTGATGAGCTCCATAGAAAATGATAAATACTACTCAATTCAAAAGTTTATAAAAGATATCGGTAGTAGATAGCTCAATAAATAGCACCAAGGAGGTACCTCCTCTATACAATAGATATGTCAGAAGACATATCTAAGAACCGCAAGAAAGATCAAGTAGAAAAGGAACCATATCATCAAACCAAAAGAAGAGAGTGGTAGCCTATCCTTGATTGCACCTATTTGACTTCATTTTTGAGACCTCCTATGATGCAGAAAATGAAAGCTGGGATGAAAACCAGAATTCTTTTTACTTATTTTCACAAAACATCAAGGCTGACAAAGCTAATAGTTCTTCCCTAACTGACTGTACCATGATCTGATTCATAGGAGCCACAACGCTGCATTCGAACATTATTTAAACTCAAATTACGAGAAAAAAAGATAAAATGTCCATCTTCCACTTACCTCTTTCTCCTCAACCCCTTTATCTCTCAACCTACATAAGGCTAGGCAAATTTGCTTCTCAAGATATCCAATCCTTCCTTCTGCAACATATAGAGTTCCCAGGTCATTTCAAAACAAAAAGAAAACACACACACACACACACAAGGTTCATTCTAGCTTTCTTTTTGCTTCTTTTCATAAATAATCATCTGTCTTTTCTTTTCTTTTTCTTTTCTTTCTAGGGAAAGGTGGCAGGAGCTGGAATGACTCTTCAAGAGGCTAAAATCAACAGCAACAAAGAAAACTTCGTTCATACCAGTCTTTGAAGATCCCAGATTCTCAATCTCAATCCATAGATTATCAGGAATCAAAGATATATCTTCCTCTGAAGAGTACAGGCAAGCGCCTGCAACAAGTGCTAAAGAGAGTTGTAAGAAAGGGCTCTCAAGCATTGGATATGAAAGTTTCCCTAGGCCATTTAGAACAGCATCAGCAGATGCAAGAAAACATTGCAACTGCTGACGACCAGCAAAGGGAATATAATCTACTAGTAGTGCCATTGCACGCGTCCTCAGAAGCAAAGATGTATCTGATGATCCCATAAGAGCAACATGATCCCATGTACTTGAAACCAGAAGAGGGAGAACCGACTCAGCAGCATCAGTAATTGAAATAGGAGAAATGAACTTATCCTGATATCGTGAATAATCCATGACTGAGATTCCGTCAATGTCTTGACAAACAATTTTTCCCAAGTGCTTAAGTGCTATCAGCCTTTGCTCGGGTTCATTATGGCCAAGCAACCTACAAAATAGCTCCACCACTGGAACCTCCTTTCCACTAAAGTTATGGAATCTTCTACCAAACAACGTCGTCAACCATTTATCAGATTGTAAACGCCAAGAAAGTTTAGGAGCACAGCAAGAAAACCTTGTGATTGCTATACATAGGGTTCCCACAATATCATGAATGGGCAAAAGAAGTGGTACTGCAAGTAGGCAGTCAACCATCACAGATGCAACTGTCCAGCAATGTCTTTCTAGGAGAACCAAAATAAATTCACCAAGGCCCTCTAGACCAACCCTCCAATGCATTGGAAGCTCGTTCAATGATGCAACCGAGGTAGGAGAGTCGCCCCTTTTGCCATCATCACATAAATGAATGTTTTGCAGAATTGCAGATAAGCACCTCAAGTATATAAAGCTTTCTGCTGATGAAACAACCAACTTCTTGGTAAGTCGATGATGAAGCATCCAACATTGCTCCAGTGTTGGACTAAGTTTGTTAATCAGGCGGTCCATGTCCTCCACAAACTCTTTGATTTCCTCCACAGACAACGACTTAAGTTTACCGCTAATGCTACCAGTATCCGGAACCTCAGATGTAAGTGACTCATGCAAAATGTCATTGAGAAACCAGCCAACTGATTTTCTGTCGGCATCGTAGAGTGCATTAACACCATCTGAAGATAACTTGAGTGGCATAACGCCATAGAACAGTAATGCTTGACGCAACAGTAGCTTGCAGTTGTCCATAACACATTGGAAAGCACATATGTAGTCATGGTAGGAAGATGTGGGCTCAAAAGAAGTAAAATTAACCCACAAGAGTAAAGACTGCAATATGTCTCTCCTATACTGGAAAGAGAGATCAGAAAAGACAGATGCCAGTATGAAAATTGTCAAAGCTCTTCCATGTGATTTAACAGAAGAATCAATTTCACTGTCGCTTCTCTCCCCAATGGTCTTGAAAAGCTCATCAAAACACAGTGATTCAAAACTGAGACACGAATTATCAACTAACGCAAACTCATCAGAGACTTTCTTTAGAGAATATGAAATAATTGGCTTCAAAAGAGACATTACTGAATCTAACAAAAGCACATCACAGTACGAGGCTCTGCAAAGAGAAACCAACATATGCACCAGTCTAGGTGTCTCAGCTACCATAGCTTCCATATGCTCACCTACTAGGGCTTCAAGTATGTAAAGGATAATTGCTTTTGCATTTGTTGCAGCAAAACCTTTTATTTCAGTTGGACTAAGCTGAGAAGCGTTTGATTCCTGGGAAAATGGCTTTGAACAAAGATCAGAGAACCAGCACAAAACATCAGGGAGTACAGTGGAAGGAAGAGACCTGAGTTGCAAGCCGACAGCCTCCAAAATGATTTCTCCAAAAGATTCAAATTGCCTTTTCATATTAGGAAGAAGTCTACAGAGATCAGGGTAAATGACGTAAAAAGACCGATTTCCATTTTGTTGAACATATTGTTCAAACCCTTTACCTAATGCATTCTCTGGTTTCGCTCCTAATTGCTCAATACCTATCTCATCATCTTCTCTCTTAAAAACTTTATCTCCCATGGACAGATCATCGAAGAAAATGGATAATAAATATGTCAGCTCAGTTAAATCTGAGACAAGGAAAAGATGGTCCTTCACATATTGCTTTGCATTGCGTGATACTGCCATCCAACCAAGGAATCGGACAAGAGGAGAAGCAGAAATTGAAAATGTCGATATTTTTTGCATCCACGCAGAAGGTGGGAGCAAATTTCCACAGTTGGTATTATTGATGCTAATTTTGAGCTCTGAACCTTCAGTACCAGCACTTGTGGCAACTACCAATTTCTTAAGCAATATCCAGCGCCTTTGAAGCTCGTACACTCTTTCAGCATCCAAATGTAGATTACCTTCCTTTAACTGAAAATAGAAGGAGGTCAGCATACTATTGAAGTACTCAGCAGAACCTAAGATGATATTAATCACAAGACCGGGGTCACAACAGAGCTTGGTGGATGAGTGTAACAAGAACAGAAGACCTTCCATTAAAATCTCTTGCATTGAATGTTGCTCTCTTTGCAGTCGCTGGATCAGAAAATTACACAGCAAACCCTGGTTTTGTCTAGCCAAGGTGATGGCATCAGCAGATTCTACATCTTCAGGAGATAACTCGACAACTGGTTCATCAGATAATTCTGTTTGGTATGCATGTCCATCATCTGAAACTTCCCGCTGATAGTTCCTGTCCAATTCAGCAGCTTTAAGTAGTAACTGCAGCACTATCTTGTCTCTTTTCTTTTCAAGGTGAGCTATACTTTCAAAAGTATTGATATCACCAGAGTGCTTCCTCATGTCTGGAACTGTAGAACATGCAGGAACCTTGATGTTACTGCTGGTTATTTCACTGACAACCTTCAAGCTGTATCTGGAAGACATGAAAAAGGGATTGATATAACACTCAGCCGCCAAAAGCAAAGCATCAATAGCAGCGTCATGACCCTCTGCAGTAACCTCATGCTGTGAGTGCAAATCCAAAGCCAAACGTTGAAATTCAGAAGCTCTGAGCTCACAATCCCTATAATTGGCAAGTTGAAAATAATCTGCTTGCAAGTTGAAATACTCCAAATTAAAATCTGCATCAAAAACAAACCCACTCTTGGACTGGTCAGTTAAGCTTTTGTCAATTATATGCTTTTGTTCTGAGCTGGTATCTTCTAGCTTAGCATCTGAGGTATTCTGATCATGAGTGACGGACACATTTAGTAGTGCTATGTTCCGCAGTTCATCAGGGACAAAAAGCATGGCTGCATCTTCAATCCCATCCACCTTAGCAATTGCATCAGATACCTCTACCTTCCCATCATGGTCGTCCAGGCTACTTGCCTTTGAGGAAGCTCCACCACGTCGGACAGCAGAGGCTAAAGAAGAGGAAGTTGCTTCCACTTCATTAACAGAAGCAGGAGACTTGCAAAGGTCAATGTCGGCTGGCAACTGCATATGAGGTTCCAATATTGAAAGAAGCACACTGCACATACATACGAACTGTTATTCCTTGCTCTGGGTTCACTATTTAATTCAACAAGCCCAGGAAAAAGCCATCACAGTGCACAAAAGCTCCATCATTTCTTGTTTATAATTTGACAAAAACATTCTGCTTTTACCATACAACAAAGAAAAGAGCTCCGATTACCATTTGAAACTCCATTATGAAGGAAAAAGGAATCTTCTTTTTTTTTTTCACTTCGCCCTGAGTATAAAAAATATAGAGTATATGTTCATGCTTACAGCAAGACTATTTATCATGCTTCGAACCATGATATCATAAAACAAATGCAGAACAGGAGTGGAGGTCTCAAGATTATCCTGGCTAATCATCCTGCAGATAACTTAATTTCAACTGATGTGATAGTGGGAGAAAAAATTACCTAGGAGCAACCGATCCAGATCTCCATTCAGATTCCAAAGAAGGAAGTATGGCTGGCTTCCATACAGCTGTGCGGATGATGTTGAGGGCAGTCTCACAATTGCTTTCCTGCTTTTCAACAAAATTCGGAAACACATCTCCAAAAGCTATTGTGCTCTTGAATGTGCTTATGGCGGGATCAAGGAAAGGCTCTAGCATCTCTATAAGGAAGAGAATTCTATGCTTGACTTCCTGAAAGAAGCCAAAAGAAAATCTCACTTCTACACAGTATCTAATCAACTGGAGAACTTTGAGAAGTGAATAAGCAGAGAAAGCTAGGGTAACTAATGTCTGATCCGATAAAAGAAGCCGAGCATGATAGAGTTTTTGAGCAGGTAATTGTCAATCTTGATTCTCGTCATTTGGAACACCAGGTAGCAAATCCAACATATAAACGGTCATATAAACAGTAACGCACCTTGTATTTTCCCAATATATCATCCAGGTGCCCAGACAAACCAAGAAGAAAGTATTTGAGGGAAGTTCGTGCAGAGGCAAGAGAATGACGAGAAGTCTGATCATGCAATAATGAAAAAGCCTTAAGATACAACTCTCAAAGAAAGCCACAGTTAAAACAAGAAGAAGGAGGCTGTAAACATTCAAAGCCTGACAGACAGAACAACCAAATTTAACAACCCTCAAAAGGCCATCATTCATGGATGTTTTTGCAATTTCTGTCAGTCAACAGAACACACACAAAACTAGAATAAAGGGGAATTTGTAATGTCTAACAGATATCGAGCAAGTATGAAACTTTGCTGAGGTGCTAAAGCTATTCATGAATTTCAAAGCAATCATATTAGCAAAAGTTAAGAGACCATTGCCTACCGATCTAGAAATATAAGGTGATAAATAAAGGTTTATTTCATTAACTCTCCCCCCTCAAACGTGATTTGGGAATTGGCCAAGACTTAAAGCATGGAAATAGACTGTAGTAGGAGGTAGATGAGGGACCTTTGAGGGATTTGAGCACCAAATTCCTACTTGATACAAGGTAGAAGTTGTGACTCTATCGTCAGCTTATCTAAAAGCTTAAGCAGGTTCAAATCCCGCTGCCAGCAGTCCCCTTTGGTAGGCGATCTATAAATCCACTTTAAGACCTTATAGGCTTGTGGTATGCCTTGGCCTTGGCATGGCGTAACCTCCCCTCTTCCTAAACTTTCTCATACCAAAAAGAAAAAAAGGGATGGAACAGTAGTTAAGGGCTATAAATCTACAAAGCAAAGAGAAAAGCATTTGGTCATTCATATAAAGCCATTATCATTTGAAAACATATAAGACGCTTCACATGTCACTCTACACTTTTTCGTAACTCATTGAAAGGGATAATTTAAATGTTGCTTCACTGCTCCTTTTTTAATCTGTTTATAAGAACTCTTAGTTTGGTCCAAAAGGATGCCTCTCTAAGCTGCTAAAACTGGGTGGGAAGTTGTACAAGAGCAAGTGCCTTTAATGTGCACAAGCCAACAGCATTTCCAGCAAAGATCACCTACTTGTTCCAAGTCCTGCTGATAATATTGGGATCATCTTCTGAGCCTAAGCAATTATGGCTGACAAATCCACTCTAGACTTCTCTCTCATATATAATCTCAAGTCCACTTTTTTCCTTTCCTTTACTCCTTTGAAGCTCCCGGTGAACATTCCATCTAAGTGGTTCAACATATGCATTCGTGCGAGATTGTTGATAAATCCATACTTGAATAAAAATGCAGACATATGTACTAAATAAATAGTGATAGACTTACAAGTATGTACATATCTCAAAATTGGAAAAACAAGTTACCCTTGGACTGATAAACGGAGAAATTCACAGTTAGCACTACCAAGAAGTTGCAGTTGCACTTCTAGTGCACCTTGGATGGTTCAATTAAATGAATCATGAAAGTGGTTCCCGTCATTCAATCAACGGGACAATTACCAAAAACCATTCTCTACCTTTTTTTAACTCACACTTTGCACCCTTTTTTTAAAACGCTGTCCATTGCACCCTATGGTTTTAAAGAACCTACAATTCACGCCTGGGCTCCAACACCACTAGAAAATTATAGAAAGAAGAAAGTGCAAAGTACAGGATTTAAAACAAGAGGATACAAAGTGTGATCAGAGAGACACAAGAGGATGGTTTCATAAAATTTCTTTTAACTCAATGACAATGAAAGTTAAGAAGCCTGAATGAGAATATTTGGATACACAGCTGATGAGAATGTGAATGGAAGTGAAGTCAGGTATAATGTAAGTTATTGCTCACGTGTCATTAGTTGACAAAGGGATGGGGTAAGTTAAGGCTTGTATGGTGTAGGTTAACCATTAGGTACTTAAGTCAATGCGCACACATATGTAGAAGCACATTATGGTACTTGTACAGATTCATATTGAGATAAAGAGACTGAAGAAACTCACGTTAGGGTTAAGCCTATGGTTTTCAAATGAATCCTCCCTCTCTTATTTCCTTTCTTACTCTCTCCATCTTGAAAAGTAAGTTGTTGATAATAATGAGGAAAGAAGACAAGAAAAGAACTGAATTTTGGAATCGAGTCGTTGAATTTCCAGAACACGGGAGAAAGAAGACTTTGGCCATTTTGAAAATACTATGCACGTTGTCACCATCCAAATTTAAATAGTCAGTTTATCTAGGCGATACACAAATCTGAGGGGTGTATACCTTTTGTCGATTGAAAAGCTAAATAAGAATCTGAAAAGGGCGTATGAAGGAATTTCTCTAAATGTCACCATAAGGTATATGAACTTTTCCTAAAACAGAAGAAAGGAGTTATCAGTTATTCCTAACCAATCAATCATTTCAATCAATATTGAAAAGAATCTTGACTAGTGCAGTGATCATAAGAGGCTTTGTCATAATTGGGCTTTTGAGTTTGCTCTCTGAGAATTAGTAAATTTATATGGCCTTTGGGCCTTATAAATCAACTCTCGCTTCTCCAGAAACAAAAATGAGTGAGAAAAGGAAGTCCCGACATCAAGACAAGGGTAAGAAAAATAAAAGTTAACCCACAAATAAAAGGAAAAATAGAATGAATAGTCATAGCACTGAAGAAAGAACAACAAGATGTCAAACCTGTATTATGCCTAAGAGGTCCTCTAGAAGTTCCATGCAAAGATCAACCTGCGTTAATGAGAGTAAAAATGGTAGTGAGAGTGAGCAAAATAATTAGCACCAAAGGAAGTTTACTTGCAACCGACCTTTGCAATTACTTGGGGCATCCATGGAGCTAAAACGCTTGAACAGAGATCAATCAAAACACAAGCAGCCTTAACCTATCCAAGAGTCAGTAACAATGGTTGAAACAGAAGTGAGTTGAGCAACCCTTATCACCAAAAAGTACGATTTTCATATACAACAGTACAAGACATGTACGACAAGCACAAACATGTGACTGCGAAAATGACGAAAGATATCCAGCAGTGGCATGGAGTAATGGGCGGTACAGTGATGAAGATGTCGTCATGACAATCTGCATATGCAATTAGTGGGGTCAGCAGATGTAACAGAAAACAAATTTTCAAAAAATAAAGAAACCTTTGCCAGATGCAACCTGAGACAAGGCTCGCTGGACATGCGGTTGTCTCCACTGGGAAAAACTCTCAGTATAATGATCAGAACTGCTCAAGGAGGGACGAAGGGCTGTATTACATATAAAGCTAATTAATCAAACATATCCAGTGATATTTTAAAAAGAAGTTGACAAATAATGTATGAAGGTTCATGGGAAAGCATAAACGAGAAGACATGTGGGTTAATTGCAACTACATCCCACCTGAGGGAATGGGAATGCCACACTTAACATCCCAATTTTAGTGACAAGCCACCCAATCTTTCAACTTGTCCAAGGTTCTTCCAAACATCGTTTTTTGTCAAAAAAATAGGGCATTCTGATCATATGAAAGGGCTTTAAAAGTACAGAAGTTTCTGTCAACCCTCGCTTGCACGGCTGCAAGCTGGAGCTAATTTACTCTTATTGTCATGTTGATCAATTAAATTCCTTCCATAGTTACCCCTTGCAGTATTTCACAGCGGCATCCTCTAAGACAGCAAACGTAAATTCAGAAAGCTTGATTCGGTTGACATATGAGTTTTTTTATTTATTTTTCGTTTTGGCTTGAAAGTTGGTATAGCAATCTCAATAAAGTAGATTCCGATTATGTTAGAAAATATTAAAAGGCCCTGCTACTTGTTCAAGTAGAAACCCATGTTTTCTTTCTGTGCTTCTGAAATATTTCAAAAAAAAATTGCTAACACAAAAAGTTTACACATTAATTAGTAACATTGAACCAAGGTAACAGCACACATTAACTTTGAAAGAAAAACTAGCATTTAGGACAAATTTGCCACAAAAGAAAGAATGAGAAAATAATCTAATAATCAAAAGGATAGAAGAAACATTGTCACTGATTTCTAGGTGAAAGAAACATGCAACCAACCCTACTGTAAATATTTTGGTATTTAAAGAATTCAACATAATGTTTTGAAAATTGGATAAGTTCAATAAGAATAACTAAATTGTACCATGTCTATTCACACACAGCATTCCGCAATAACTGCAAATCTACGGTTCCAGATGTTTTCAAGACTACAAACATTGTTTCTGTAAAATAAATTCAGAAGTAATATCCTCCTAAAGGAATTATGATTCACGGTGCTTGACCTGGCAACAGTGCTTGCATAAGCGGTAAAGCTGACCACATCTCCACAGAGTTCTCCGCTAGTTTTCTGCAAAGCTGGGGCTGTGAAGTATATAAAGTACATAAAAAATGATGACTAGATCCATGGACCAAAAGCACAATAAATAAGGGATGTCATGAAAAGAGGAGCACTGTATGCCTAAAACTCAATTGACCTGTGACGCACAGGCATAAAGCACATGCATAATTCCTTCTTCCACTGCCCATATATCCAAAATGCTCAGGTAGCTAGAATCTGATCGATCATCAGGCATCTGGAATTCCTCTCCAAATAAGCTACAGAAATCAGTTAAGGAAAAAGGATTGCCAAATGCAGGCATTGCGTTATCCTCCAAACCCGGTGCTTCATCACATGAAGGGTTAAATGTCTCTTGCCCTACAGCAGGCTCGATGAACTTTTGCAGAATCACAGAAGCCTGCAAAATTTGAACAAGAAAATCAAACAAATTAGAATAGGTTTAGATTGTGACCAAATCTTCAAAATAAGTAGGAGCAGAGGATGATGTTATTACTGCTTTGCAGACAGTTCCCAAGTCAGAATCTTTATAGGCCTTTCTAAGAAGCACAAAAACTGCATCTGACCGGAAAACAGTAGAGCTGGATATAAATAATGGTGATGCACTCCGAAATCGCCGAGGCTACACATGTGAAGAAAAAGAGAAATTATGTTGCCCGCAATCAGTACTATAAGATGATGAAAGTTTTTTCCGTATAAAGAATGCAAAAGGAAAAGTGTATCCTACCTTTGAACTTGGAAGATGACCAAAACTATGGGGATCTTAGCTCACAAAGCAGTAGAGAAATGAATATCTAAAGTATTCAGCTAGAACAAATAATTTAACATACCACAATTATATATTGTTGTGACAGGTGGAAGTTACATATCAATAAAGGTGTCAATTTGCATCCATGGATTGTGTCTGTCAACTTAAAGGGGTATTATTAAATAGGTCAACCCAAACACAACTTATATCTAATTAATCTTCTTGAAAACTCCTCCTGAACATGATCCACTTATTAAATAGGTAAATCAAAGATGACTCACATAACCTGTTTAATTAATCAGTCCAACCCCACCAAGACCCAAACAACCCTTATAGCTTCTTGACACAGCTCAGTTTTTGTTGCCTTTATTTATGAAATTGACAAGTTTAATATGATTATCTATCAAAAACCAACTAATTTCAGAAAAAATCAACAAAACTATGAACTAGTTCCTTATTTGGTTTAATTTTTTAAAAGAATTCGGAAGTAATCCTACTTTACCAAGAAAAACTTTCCAACTAGAGTAACTTATTGAAATGTAACAATCATTAGCATCAATATTCACTGTTAACATATCCATTAGTATTAAGAGAATACAAAAAGATTAACCTTATTGAAAATATATAGGTTATCGTAGGTCATTAAACCGTGTATCAAGTTGGCACAATACATTTCACTGAAGAGGTCGGACTAGGTCACTTCGGGTTATGCAAGTTCAACCCACATATGACCAGTATATTTATTTTTGTCAAACAGGTTCACACGATAATGACATGAACAAAATGACACCGCTACATATCACTGATTTGTCACCATTATCCTCACTTTCAGTTCCAGACTTATGTAATGTAATGACTATGGTTGACAATCGATCCATATGTATCACTAAGTAAATCATTATTCTCCTCACTAAAGGAACACAAAACCTCGCCAATGACAAAAAAAACATGAAACAGGGTGCAAAGAGACAGTCTTTCAGAAAAGAGATGACTCCCATCCATGTTTCACTAACAAATAAAGGAGTAGACAGCAATTGGACCTGGGCGGGGGAAACAGGGTGCTAAGAGATAGTCTTTCAGGAAAGTAATTAGTGAGGTTATGAGGCTGCAAATCAGAAATAGTCAAGGAGAAGATAAAAGTACCTCAAAATTTGAGGAGACGGTTATCACTGACGATGGTTGATTATTTTTAGGAACTTCAGAATCCGTGACATTTGACGAAGACTTCGTCGTTTCACTGCATCACAATATCACCCTCCACAGCTCAGCTCATAATTCATCTATAGCAGATAAAATTACACATGCAACCTTAGCATAACCTAGTTAAATCACAGATCCATACCATACAGATAATTTTAAAACAGCAAAATACAATATGTCGGCTTCTCAGGACAGGATTTTTGTTTTTTTTTTTTTTATAGACCAGTTTTCATATAATAAAATTTTAGTGGATGATTATATCAACTGTATGGCATTCTCATGCATCAGTCCCTGGTTTAAGAAAACCGTAGCATTATGCAACATTCTTTACCAATTCAACTTATAGGATCTATTTTATTTATATCCATTTGGTGGGTATGTTTAGTTCGCCACATCAACGAGCTATTAGTACTTTTTTGAATGTTAAAGACAATTTTCATTGAAAGGGTACCAAGTGGGTAACACCCTTGTACAAAGCTAGATACAAGAGACACGGTCTATCAAATCCAGCGAAGAAAAGGTGTCATTTTAGTGATTTTTGTGTGGACCAGAAACTAATAACTTTTTACCCATCTATTTTACACAACCAATACTAGAACCTTCGTTTTCAAAGCCTTGAGATTTCACCCCCTCCAAATTATCAAAAAAAAAAAAAAAAACTAGCTGGAGGCATGGTCGAAAGCATTACGCCCTTCCCCTTAACCTGGCGAAAAAGAAGACGTTTCCACACCCACATTTCCTCTTTAATACCAGCATATTCAAACCGAGTTATACAACCCATTGCCAAGGTGGAATGCCAAAATCACCTCATCCAATTGCAGTGGAGAAAAGGTGACAAACAGACTCACTAGGGTTTTCCATAAAAACACCTATTCACCAAGTTGAAGTTTCTCCATTGCATACTGTCAATGGTCAAGATATACCACCACGTAGCCTCTCAAAAAGAAAAGGCAACTCTAGAGGGTGCTTTCCATATTAAATCAGTTGGGAAAGCTCCATCCTACTTGCAGATGTTGAGTAAATGCATGGTAGAAGGGTTTAGTAGTAAATCTCTGTCCTTCAATAATCTCCAACAAACCATGTCATCTCACCGCCCCAGTTTAGCAAACTGAAAAATCTCAAGAAAAACTCTGAAGTCTGTTGATATCTCCATCATTAGCCCATATTCTAAGAAGCATTGCAGATTACAATCCATCAGAAAGGAAACAGAACAAACTACTAGCATTTTCCTGCAGGAAGCTATTCTGAACAAATCCGAAAAAGCTGTCTTCAAGGAAGGTTCGTGCACCAACCTGTCATACCAGAAGGAGATGGAGGAGCCATTTCCCACTTTGAACTCAATAAAATGCATAAAATTAGGCCATTTTTTCCTTATCCATCTCCAAACTCCAATGCCATAAGTTTCACTGTTCAGTGGAGTCACCCATCCAAAGTTGATGACTCATATAATAGTCAGCAATTCTCACCCTAGTTGGCCAGTTAACATTAAGTACTCCATAGCCATTTTCCAAGGAGATCCTTGGAAGAGACTTTTCTTGCAGCCCTCATTGAACAAAAGTTCGTTTGACCAATCTTCAAGGAAGGTATGTGCACCAACCTGTCATACCAGAAGGAGATCGAGAAGCCATTTCCCACTTTGAACTTAATAAAATGCATAAATTTAGGCCATTTTTTCCTTATTTTATCTCCAAACTCCAGTGCCATAAGTGTCATTGTTCAGGAGTCACCCATCCGAAGTTGATGACTCATGAAATAGTAAGCAATTCTCATCCCAGTTGGCCTGTTAACATTATCTATCTCCACAGCCATTTTCCAAGGAGATCCTTTAAAAAGACTTTTCTTGCAGCCCTCATTGAACAAAAGGTCATTTGACCTTTGCCCAATTTACTAGGTGAAACTTTCTTGCCTTTCCAAACTTCCCAAAAGAATCGTTTTGCAACATCTCCATTCTTTTTAATTCTTTTGGCCACTGAAGAAGGAAGGGAATAAAGACAAAAGTTGTGCCAGTATCTGCCGCTCTTTGACATCCGCTACCATGCCGGGCATACCGTTATTAGGCCGCTTTTGATAAGTCAAACTTCAAACCTGATACGGCTACAAAGCAGAGCAAATTTCTAAGATTCAAAAGATCCTCCTCACTTGAGCCAGAGAAATCCATAGTATCATCAGCGAATAAGAGGTGAGAGATATTAATATGACCATCTCTAGTCCGAACATCTTAACAAACCTGAATCGACTCCTCTAGCAAGCATTTAATTCAAGACCACCATTCCAATATTGAAATGAAATGGGGAAGTTGATCCCCTTGCCTTAGAACATAAGACTTCAAAAATAAAATAATTAATTAGCTTCCATTCATCAACACCATGAAAGAAGCAGCAGAAATGCATTCTTGAATCCAAATTGATATTGCCATCACTGGCCAGATACCATTTTCTCCTAGACATGCAGCAAAATACTACAAGACATGTGATCATTGGCACTTTAAATGTCTCATTTGCACACCATGCCTTCTTTATATACAAACAGAAACCAAAAAATTAGAAAACAAAAGGTGCTATCATGAATGGTCATGGTCAGTTTTCTAGATAGAAAGGCTTCCACTTAATTCATACATCTTTCTTGGAAATTAGTTGTTAATAGTAAGCACAACCCATGCCAATTATTGAGAATTCTTTTATTAACCAACAATAACAGCAGCTGCAGCTGCAGCAACATCAACAACATCAAGAATGCCATTTCAAGTTAAGCAGTGTCATACTCAATCCTTTTGCACCACTTCCTAGTGTATTTGTCCATATCTTCAGAGGCCTCTTCTTAATATCTTTTAATTGTTTAAAAGAAAATTCCTTATCACTAATTTGATTAATTGTTGATCCTCATAGAAGTATAAATCAAACTGGAAAGACAGGTAACTTCAAGTGAACTAACCGTTCATTGACAATGTGAAGTATAGGGTAAAATGGACCCGCAACCATAGCAAGAAAACGAAGGCTAGGTTCAGGAGCATCAGAAAAGCTGCTCAGGTCTCCCTGGAATTAAAACTCCATGTTACCCAAGATCATAATAAAAAGAAGATGATCTATAATAAAAAATGAGATCAATAAATCACCTCAAGTTGGGGAAGGAAAGGAAGCAATCTGCATGTCATGTATTGAAGCAGCTACAGATCAACAAGCATCAGATAAAAAATGAAACAATTTAAAACAAGACCAAATAAAGATTAGGTGGCAGCATATGTCATCCACCTGAAGGTGCACATCCTGAGCATCTTGCTTGTGGGCTATGATGTGTGGCAACAAGTGACTGACAACTGGTTGGAACTCTGGTTCAAGACCAGGCACAGGAACTCCAATTAACTGCAAAATATGGATAATTAAATAATCACTGAACAGTCATGAAATAGATGCTATGTTCATAAGACTTTCAAGCATATTTAAGGATAACAAACAATAAGGAGAGACCACAACAATAAAAATACACCATATAAGAAGTAGCAGTTCAAAATCTGGAAAAACAATTTCTCTTAAATAGATAATTGTCTGATTCAGAATTTTAAATATCCAATCGTAGTTAAATCAAGTGAATTTCAAAAGGGCAAGTGCCAGGTGGATCACCATGACTAGACCTTGAAGATTCACTTATTAGGCTTTTCATTCTGAACTGTTTTAACATTTTCTTCAGAGTAAGAAACAATGCTGAATTTTACCGGGCATGTTACTATGGTAGGGAGACGATTTTCCTTTTCACTTCATCAGTAAGCACTGCACTAAGCTTTTTCTGGATTTAGGCGGATAAGACCATATACCATTGTGTATAAAGCACATAATACCACATACGCGGGGAACCGTGGAATCATCTGTTTTTTTTTTTTTCAGACTTTGTGGATATGACGGACTTTAAGTAGCTCCATTGAACTTCACCATGTACTAACTGGTTCATCTTTATGTTGTTTTTGGTCTTGACTCTTGTGCTTCTGTTTGGAAAGGGAATTATGGGTGGAAAGAATAAAAAGAGGAAGATAAGGGGAGAAGAAAAGTACAATCCCTTGTTTGGAACGACAAAAGAAAATGGAAAAGTGATAAAAAAATTTCCCTTGGCTCCACCAATCCTACCCATTTTGGAGAGAAAGTGGGACAAATGTAATTGAAACCCCGAAATTATCCTTGTAACGAAACCAAAATGACCCATTAGAAAGGCAAAAAGGTAATATATTGTTATTAACTAATTCCCAAGCAACTTTCTTTCCAATTTTCTTTCCTTTCTTCCAAACAACAATATACCTTGTGATTCTCACTCCTTCCAACTTTCATCTCCGCCGCTATCTCCTTTTATTTTCTTTGCCTTCTAACTTTTTTCCCCAAACATAGTGTTATGGTGGTCAGTGGGACGACATCTCTTTGAGAAATCTATCCTAGAAACCCATGGCACTAATCGTCGAAGGAAATAGTGTTAAATGAACTTGCCTTCCTTTTGGTCTGGTGTTGCTAATATCTGGTATATTACATGCCAAGCTCAATCAAAAAACCCTCGCAAATAAGGAATTCAGAGTACAGAGAACTCCCAGATCTCACTGCATTAGCCCAATTTCACAGGACCTTAGCCCTTTGGTTGACAGTAAAGTAATAATAAATAATGATCGATAAAGTAACCCCCTAAGCACTTAAGATTAAGGGTGTTACAGCTACAAGCATTTAAAATTTCTTCCATACTTATGCAATTCCATGACATGAACATGGCTAAACGATTTGTTGAATGCTAAACCATTTAATTCCATAAGGTCTCAAGGGGAATCCACCCTTACACAAAATTTCAGACGAAGAGAATTTATAAACTACAACAAACAACCAAATTGAAAAGTGGTTTTTCGCTAACCCAGGAACTCAAAATCTGTAACCATCTACCCTTAACATAAAGAAATTATACACTAGACTCTCCAATAGAAATCGCAATGGACTATGTTTCAGTCAAATAGAAAACAAAAAATCTACTTACTCAGTTGGCTAAAATTTTACCACCAAATAACACTAAATATATCATGTCATTTACCTGAATAAAAAATATGGCAATTGGATTTCCTCTCAAACATGATATCCGAACATAGCGGCATGGTGTATAATTAGTAGGGTACGTCATTTCCCTACGTGGTGCTTCACAACGAGGACGCACTTTTGCAAATGTCTCCGGCTGGTACAAAATCATAACAGATCAGACTACCATTCAAAATTCATCTTCCACAAACACCTGACAAGAATTCCCAGTCCAGACAAGATAACTTTGCTGAAAAGAAAATTATTGCCCACAAATATATCATTTCACACTGGAAATACAAATATGTTCGTCAGAAACCAGCAATTTTTCTATTTTCATATTTTAATCAATTGAGAACCATAAAAACCTGTTACACTTTCTCTATTTGCATTTAATGATTTTGCATAATTATTGTCTAAATTATCATGAGTTCTTCAATGAAGGGCACTCTCTCATCAAAATTTATTAATCTATCAAAACAACTGCAATCTTCTCAATATGCAGAGGACCAATGTGAATATATCAATCAGGCTCATTCTAGTCTACATCAAACATCACAAACCTTTACAAATGCCAAAAGCCCCATAGAACGCACACGCAACTATTTCTTTCGTGCAACTAATACATGGTTGTTTCTATCCAACCTCCAAAGGACATTTATTACGCACTGACTTTGGTTCTTCTTTTGCACGTATCTGTTTGATTTGGAATTGATTTTATAAGCCTCTACCCACGCTCACTAAACAGAACTAGACTTCTAATTGATAATTACTTCACCAAGCATAAACTAGAACTCCAATTCAGATGCCTTAACAGACGACTTTGATTAGCAAAAATTGAAGCTTATGTAATAGTCCCAGAATATTCAATATGTACGACATTTGAGTATACTCATATGATTCATAATGACCAAGGAAAAGAAGAATAACATTTTTATCCCATCAGAATTCCAAGAAAACACATACATTGCTTCCTTTCAAAAGGAGCAAGCTTGGCCTTGATTAAAAAGCGCACTTTCTAATCTCTTGTTTCATTTAGTAACCATCTTTCTAATAGTTTGGGCATTAGCTAAAATATTGGGAGCTATTCATAGTAAACTTTTGAGGGGTTACAATGCAAAACTCCTAGATCTCATTTGGTAAATCGAAAAGCAGCTAAGCCACCAGTAATCGAGTCTCTGTTCCTCCTCAATGAGCTTTAATAGGTAAACCATCTATCATGGAAGTTCAAGAAGGATCAGCTTGTGGTGGCTGCACAGTATCAATTGGAAATATGTTGTCGCATTTTAAAACAACCAGAACAACATAACACAGCAGTTTGGAGGTGAAGAGGAGTGGTAAAACCTTCGTGACCAACTTCAACACTAGAGTATGAAACAGTAACTGAACTTAACTCCGGCTAGACACGTTTCCATCAAACTTTAAAATTTGCAATATGAATGTTTTTTAGTATTCCTAGAAATGTGAAAACACCTGCAGCAGACTGCTAACAAACCAATAATCACAGAGTCTCATGGGATATCCATCTCTCTCAACAAGCTCAAGAATGAGAGCTGAAAGCATTTTCAAATAGGAATGCTTCACAACTCCAAATCAAAAGATGTACTTATTTCAAACAGCAAAAGCTGAGAATTATTCTTCGAAATTGTTTTCAATAATCATCAAGAAGCTACACCTCTGAGTAAGATGTTCCCAATGAAAGTCATTACGGAAAAGGAAGTCCCAACAAAAAGGCAATCTAGGAATGGTCACAAGTAAAATGTTCCAGTCAATATATTTCCACGTTATGAGCTAGTCATTGATGTTTAGGACTCAGGAGTATTCTTTTCTATAATTAAATGTAATTATTCAGTATGATGTCCCCCCCCCCCTCCCAAATTTGGCACATCCATTGTGCCATACTTTCTACGTTATAAATGTATGTGTGGCCTTCCTTACTTAAATGGCTATCAATAATACATCGTATCTTTGAGCTATTAAATAGCTAGAAACCACCAAAAAGTCATATATAAACAGTATAATCAAATGCCAAGTTATCTTGGATAACCGTAAACCATACATGAGCAATGTCTTGAAAAATGTACATATACTCTGACCAATAGATCCACCTTAATAGACACAATTACTAGATTAGAGGATACTAGGGACTGAAAAATGCACAGATATAGGAATATCACCTAAATTCCCTTATACTTCAATAAATTAGTTTTTCAAATTTTAATCAGAAAAAAGGTAGAAATTAGATGTGAATAAGTGTTCTATAGAAATTGAATATACAACCATCCAACTTAGAGAGCCTACTATCATAACTAAATTATATTAGAATATGTCTAACAATATATCATGTGCATTGTGCAGATCAGATGACTCATTATACATAAGTTGAAATCAAACAAAGGAATAATAAAGGAACCACATAAATACCAAAATAATGAAAAGACACATCAATAGTCAGTTAATTAGTTTTTCAGGAACATTATCAATGACTTAAAAGAAGTTCAAAACTAATGTAAGTCAAAGCATGTAACCTTGTATCTTAAGCCAGCTGCAATCTCCCATTCAAGAACAGACTTATTATAGATCCTTACATGTGACAAAAGACAAGGTTCCTGAAAATGAACATGAAATATCAAAATTAGTATAACTGGAAAAAGAGAGAGAGAGAGAGCACTCCTTGCAAAATTCTGATAATTATCTATGACATATACATTTCCTTATTAAAAAAAGAAAGTCAAGCTTTTATATTGATGCAATGTCTAAGGTTCCATGATTTATTCAACTTATGGGAACCTTTTTCTTTTCTCATTTCTTGCTGGACTGTCACATGATACCAACATGTGAAAAACAAAAAATGAAGTCAGTTGTACTGTAAGAACTAGTTGGAGGGAAGAAGAATTAGGAAGGAAGAGATTAATTGGTCTCTTGAAGGAGGCATTGGAAGCCTGTCTTTTATTTGCAAGGTGTAGGAACTAAAATAGAAAGCCCCATTCTTGTTTTTCTTCTTCTAATAAATGAGTAAAGATTTGGCAAGGGCAGGGGGCAGGGGCCAACCTGTTTACATACAAATAACAACGAAAAAGATCCAACTACTCTAGAAAAAGTGTATCAAATGACTTGCCAATACAAGACCAACATAAAGTGTGGAGAACCGTCCATCCTTCACAACACTTTGGGGACTTTTTCATTCTCAAATCCCTTCTACCCCAAATGATCCAAATATGGACGAAGGAATTGAAACCAAAGTATTTCGTCCTTCTTTGCAAACCAGTAAGACAGAAGAAGCTTGAAGTATTTTGCTAACATGGAACCAGCCACCACCCAATCCAATCATATGAGTGCTAGGGATGAGTGTTCCATAGCATGCAGATGCCCAAGAAGAAGATGATCACAGTCTCAGCATCCCCTCTGCAGAGACAAGACCTCCTAGCAGGCATTGAACCCCCCCCCCCCCCCCCCCTTTTGTTAAATTAAAGTAGTTAGAATCTCCTTCCAAGCACAATCCCACCTTAAAAAAGCCACTCTAGCAAGCACCTTAGATTTCAGTAGATTTTCCAAGAGAATCAAATACAGGACGTGTCAGTGCTAATAGCACGAGACCTCCTATAAGCAGATTTCACTGAAATCATACCATTTGTGTTGTGTCGCCACACTGCCCTATCGCTAAGCTCAGAGCACAACTGAGAACTATGAACTTAATCAAAGGAGTCAAATAAGTGTTCTAATGCCCAATCTTTTGAAGATTTTAAGAACTATAGATACTATATATCCTTCCAAAAGTAGATTGATTCCCCATGTTGTCAGACACAAAATAGTCCAAGTTCCTGCCTATCCACTTACAAAGGCTAGTTCCAGTGCTACAGCTTAGAAGATGTAATCATTATGGGAAGTACCACACTTGGCAGCTGTTATAGTCCATAAGAAACTGCCCTTCTCTACCATGAGGTGCCACTGCCATCTGCAAAAGAGAGCTCTCCGGAAATTGTAACAGTCTTCCCTTATGGCACATCTGTCAGGCACTTTGCCACATTATATCTGAACTCTCCATCTGTATGACCCCTTAAAATCTTGACGGAATGCTTTCCAATCTTCTTGATCCAAAGCAAGGAATAACAGATAGTGACGTACAATCAATAAAAGATTAGAAAAAGTACTCCTAATGAGTGCCATCCTACCAGCCTTTGTTAATTACCGGTGTTTCTAAAGAGCTAGCTTTGAGAACTCTCCAGCTCCGCTATCTGTTCCTATACCTCATGTCAAAAATAGCCAGGAAACTAAATAGAGAAGGACCCAAAATAACAGCTCGAAAGATCAGCAATGGTCTAAATGCCCATGCCTTCTCCCAAAGGGATGTGAACTTTTAGCAAGGTTAACTTCAGGATCCAAAATAACCTAAAACAAAGAATGGTGCATCCCAAGGCTCGATACTTGCACGGCGTCTCTTTCCCAAAAATTAATTATTTCCTCAACAAAAAAACACAGAAGAGGTACTTGGCATATACTTAAAACCATTCAGTAAACAGCAATCCGCCGGTACACATCACACATATGCCGAACTCTTTGTCGAACTAAAATCACGAGACGAAATCATATTACGCATGACCGGCGTTTGCAAACAGAGACACCGGCAGGGGGGCAAGCGATAGCTGACAGCTGCTCGGGCATCATTTAACTACCATTAGCTATATTCAGTGAAATATTTCATGCAAAATTCGCATGTCTCGCCCCCAAAGTCGAGATTTTTTCGGCCAAAGGTCGTAGCTTTTCCCCTCCCAAGTTCAAATTCTCTCGGTCCACCACTGGCAACGAGACGAGCACGGCGCGCGATCTCGGCAGAAGAAGCACGAAGGCGCAAAATGCATATCTAGTCTAATGGGTCTGTGTGGGTGGGTGCGAGAGAGAGCGAGCGAGAGAAAGAGAGAGAGAGAGAGTACATCGAGCTCGAGTAAGATCCACTCCTTGGTGTTGGTACCGGTGGACCAGTGAGTGCGGAGGTCAGGGTCGAGTATGTGGGCTGCTTTCTGCGACGGCGATTCCCTCGACGTTGCCTTCACCTTGTACCCCAGCGGCTTCACTCTCCCCTCCAATTCCACCTCCATCCCTCCCTCCCTCTCCCTCTCCCTCCCTCTCTCGTACCTGCGACCAACCTGAGATTTGAGGAATTGGGTCTGCAAACGAGGACGAGGATTGGGGAAATTTTGGGGACGAAGTTGGACTGTCTTCTTCTTCACTGCAACTCTTCCACGATGATGATGATTAGCTCGCTCTTTCAGTTCCTTCCACAGTTCGACGACGCGGCCTGGTCAAGCAACAAAGCGGCTTCAGCCCGTATTCCTAGTGTTTTTTGCCCTTTTCTCAATTTTTACACACGACGTACTTGAGATGAAGGCTCTATCGAGAATTTCCTCACTAAATTAGACGTGCGTGGTGTGGTCCATTATTCTTCGGCTGCATTTTGAGTTGGGCATTTGTAAATGGGCTTTTTAAGGACCTCCAAAGGCCCTTTGTGCCCAAAGGGAGAGTAGGTGCTTGGCAAGAAATTCGAAGGTTTTTGATCCAAAGTCAGCATTTCCAACGATCTTTGACCCGATGCAAGTCCTACTCGATTTTGGTTTTTGAGCATTTTCGGGATATTAAAAGATTATTTTCCCTTATAACTTTGCCCTCAAATAAATTATCTAGATTTCAGTTTTGCCCCGTACCATTTTCACCGTGCAAGCTCGTGTGACGTCGCCGGCGAACCTAGATATGATGTTGACGAGTCTAGATCTGCCGTTTGCTAGCAAAACTGGTGCCTGGGAGCCTCGCTTTATGTCATGCAACCTCCGGACAGCCCAATGCTTGAGGTGGGTGGCCTTTTTCATTTTAACAATTATATTTTAGATTGGATGCAGTAGTGTTCACCCAAATGCTATTTGAATTTGGCCTAAAATCTTTGTATTTACAAAATGGCATTCCCCAAAACTCTTCCAAACGTAGCTAGTCACTTCTCATTTTTAATACTAAGTTCTCATTTAAAGTTTGACTATCTGAGTATCTAATATTTTTCTCGTCATGCTATTGCTTGGTAACTTTTAGAATAGAAGAATGCTAGAGTTTACGTGGTTGATGACTTTTCAACTTTTTGTAATTCTCATGCATAATTAGCAATCTTTTGACGTACATAATCAGCTTTAGAGTATCTCAATGTTAGCAACTTCACGATCGAAGTAAAGAGTATTAGGACACACGTAAGTACCCAGATACAATTAATCAGGGTTGAAAATCGATATTGTTTTAAAGTTTGTCGAGCCATTTATACCGATTAGAAGTTTTGGGAATGCGATGGGATGACGTAGGGTCCATACTTTCGTTCAAAATTCAAAATTGACTCTCTACTTTTTTTTAGTTCAAAATGACCCATTTACTTTTTGAAAGTGTCAACCTAGTGCTTGAGTGGTGGGTGAGTTGAACGTTGGATTACATGTGTCATGTTCTGATTTGCTCAAATTTCTTATTAGGTTAATATCACCAAAAATTCCAAACTAGTACATCTGTGATAATTTTATCCCAAACTAATTTTTTTACCACAAAAAACCTTAAATTGATACTTCTATGATAACTTTACCCCAAACTAATATTTTGACCACTAAAAACCTTAAATTGGTACATTTGTGATAAATTTATCCTCCGTTAATTTTCGTTAAATTGGATTAATACCAAAAAAAATCATAAACTAGTACACTTATAACAAACGGAGGGTAAAACATAAAATTGGCACATTATTCAACTGTCGTGTGTCATTTAACAAAGCAATTTAACTACAAAATTTAACGGAAATAAACAGAGGGTAAATTTGTCAAAGGTATACCAGTTTGGGATTTTTGTTGATCAAAAATTAATTTGGGGTAAATTGTTACAGGTGTACCAGTTTTGACTTTTTTGTGGTATTCACCCTTTCCTATTTGGTGCCTCAACAACCAAAATAAAAAGTAAAAAAAAAAAAAGCAATTGAGAGAATTTCGTTTTCCAGAATCAAGAATTCGAGGGGAGAGAGGAGATGGCGGTCACCATGTGGTGGCTCATGTTTGTGCGAGTCTCACAAGGCAACGCCAACCACTCCGTCACTTGAGCTTTGGTGTCGCCACCATCGCCGAATAGAGTGCGGGTGTCCATTCATGGCAAATTTTTAACACCAGGTATGCATGAGCAAAATTCGGCGCTAAATTCTTCGAAGGACCAGCAATGGGCAATTTGAGGAAGTTCATAGACCATTTTGAAGGAGTAGAGGGCCAATTCTGAATTTATATTCTAGTGACATTATCTCAAATACATTACGATGCGTAAAGATCCTCTATTCGCACGATCCTCCTTTCCGTGCCTCGACAAATATCAACGGTTGATAATAACCTTGTTTCATAAATCAACAATTGAGATTAGCTGAGATATCGAGGGAAGTCTTGTGTGGGGTACCTGATCTACTCCGTTTGTTGGAAATTATATACAAATGGGCTGACATTAACTGCATAATCTTTAGTTTGCTCTATGAGTATTTGGTTGCTAAAGTGGCTCAATCACAATGACACTTTGACTTCTTTCATAAACGAAGAGATAATAATAAGCTGTAAAATGCATTCATTTAGAGAACTTATCTAATCAAAGGGGACAGGATTTGAAAGATTAGGGTTAATTTATTTCAGCCTTAAGGAAAGATTCCTTTTCTTTGTACATTCTCTGATAAAAGTGGAGTATGTAATGACGCAATAGGATTCACTTGTTAAAGAATGTAGTCGTACGGTTTTTATACTATCTTAATTATTGGATAAATATCCAAAAAATCTAAAACATTTTTATGGCAACCAATTCAATCATAAACTCTTTAATTTTGCCAATTTAATCATAAATCTTTTGACAATTTACTAATTTTGAATGGAAATCGCTGACATGGTAGTCCGGTTAGTATCGGTTGACCTACGTAACACAGCCGACACTAACATGAATAATTTTTGCAATTTTTTAATCTTTTGATTTTTTCTGATTTTTTCCTTTTTCTGATTTTTTTTTGTTTTTGGTCAGCGGGAGCACTAGGGCCTCGATGACGGCCACGAGCGAGGGCACGTGGCCCTCGCCGGCCAACAGGCGAGGGCCGCAACCCCCTCGTAGGCCATAGGTGAGGATCGTCGGGCTTGACGACCCCACTAGCCAAGGAGGAAAAAAAAGATCAATTCAGAAATTTTTTTAAAAAATTGTCTACATCAGTGCTGTACATCAATGATTCATTGGCAAATCGTCTAAGATTTAGAACTAAATTGAAAATTTTAGTATTGAATCGACCGTCGTAGAATATATTTAAGACTTTCTGGATAATTTCTCCTCTCAATTATTGTTGCTTACTTAGTCTTCCGGTTGTATTCTTCTCTATTGATCGGAACAATTGAAATGGAGCAAGATATTTAATTTATCCTTGGATCTGGACTGTGTTTTATCTGATTTGGCCCAATATTGCTCTATGAGCTGGTTAGGAAACTATACATTTTGTTGAAAGTATAGCAAGCCATAAAGTGACTCATCCGGGGTGACCCACGAAATTGTCACGAACTTTTTGAGCAATCTTGTCTGGGATTACACTTGAATCAATGTGTGCTCGAGCACCAAAATGCTTCATGTCTTGAGATTAGTGGAATTACTCATGTTATAATTGACGAACCTCTTAGTCCCAATTTGAGAATACAAGAACAGCATGTTATGAGTGTTTGACCAACATAGGCGTTCACTTCTCGAAACTTACGGATAAGAAAAACAGGAGTGTCATAACTTTTTTTTTTTTGCTAACTTAAATGCCACCTCGGAGTCAAATCTATCATTCGTGTGTTATTTCTGGCAAATCGGCCTATGTAGATTTCTTGCATAATTTTCCATTCCCACATGGATTTTTTTAATTTTTAATTGTTTTCCTTTTCTTGTTTTTTTTTTTTGCGCTAGCAAGGGTCAGCAAGACGTTGGTTTTCCAAGGGAGGTCAACTATTTGTAGGAAAAAGTAAATAACCACTTTGTGGGCCTTGTGGTTTGTTGGTCGGGTTTGGCCAACATAGGCAGCCCACCCATTATGCTTTTCATCTCCCACTCACTCATAATGGGCTAAACATAATTACTTTTTTTGCAAAGTTCATATTTACAAATAATTTGTACGATCAACATATTTTGAGAGCTCGTTACTATACAACTGTTAGAAATATATAATAGCTTAAATTAGGCATATTTATCCAGAGTAGAATCGGTGTGCAGTTTCCTACGGTTTCATCATTACCATCGAACAATTCACTGTCCAAGCGTAAGAGATCGTACTCGGTTTCGTCAAGTGCTATTCTTTTCATTGGTGCATTCATCAACCAAAGCCTCTTGGTGCGTGGCCGATGGGTTGATGCTACTAGATATCCACCACTCTTTTCAACAAGATACAGAAAAAATACACATTAGAATAAATATCATAGCACCTTAACATCTCAATATCAATTCCTTGCATTAATGAAGCCAATTGGTAGAAAAGCGAATTTTTGAGTTGTCATTATTCTTTCAAATGTTGCCAGTGTTTTATACTAGCACGTACTAATTTTATTAAATGCCATGATATTATAGATGTATGGAGGATTTAGTCAGCACCGCACGCTCATACTTAGGGCAAGAGTTATGAATAAATTTGAAGTGACTAGGATAAGGAAAGAAAAGGCGAGGCTTGGCGGCCCTCATCGGCCAAAGCGAGAGAGTCACGGTCCTCGCCTAGGCCCTCAACGATATTTCTAATAATGTAACCACACAACAACAGAGGAATTTCAACATTTCAAACGCTTAACTCAATTACTTCTCGACTTTGCACACAAAGCTTTAGAGCAGGGGAATTACTTCAAAACTTCACAAAATGAAGTTAAAAGAAAAAGAAAAAGGAACTAGTAAAGTTAGCCTTATCGTTTTATAACTGTAATCATAAACTCGACAACTTCGAATCCAAACAACGCTAGAGAGCTCAAACCTTAACCATCGCCAAATATTCGTAAACTCCACACCCAACGCCGAATATTGGCATATTGAAGAAGCTCACTGCATCAAAATTAAGCTTTTCTCCAGTTGAGCACAGCCCCAGATGGAGACGACGCCAATCGGCCCCACAGACTCCGAATCCATATGGAACTTTCCCTAGTTCCCCTTCTTGTCGTGATAGACGAAGTGTTGGGAAAATTCAATCCTCAATCAATATATTCGAAACGCATTCGAACTACGCGGAAAACATACGCAATAATCGTCAACTTGTATCATCGATCATACAGGCAAATTA